TAGAACTTGAAATTATTTCTTATTGCTCTCGTCTGGCTGAGTCCGGTTTCAATTGTTATGAAACTCGTAGTACGTAGTCACTAAGAAGATAATACTGTTTCTTCGAACATACCGTATGGCGGAGGATAATATCACGACCCAGAGCGCATCCCGTTGGAAGCTACGAAAGACTCGAAAGGTTCGATTGTATCATTAGCAATCAGGAATCATCGCCAACCGGATGCCGATTTCAAAACTAATAGCGATTGACATTCCAAGCGCGTTCTAGAAACAACAATCTGCACGATCYACAGAAATGCGAATTCAACRCGTMGTGTAGAAACCGCTCGCATCTCGGACCAACATACAGCGACGAATTCTATGGATGAAGGCATGGGACCACCGCACGATGTTTTTGGCCGCTGCTAGAGTGCAAAGCGCCTGTGCAACGTCCCGTGGAGCTGCGGTGTTGCGAAACGATAATGTGCCAGCCCACTGTTCGAGGCAGGCGGGAGTGGGACCACTGCMGGGGATAGCTTTTTGTTGCCAGCCAGGGACGCGGCACCCGACAGCTGCAGTAGCTACGGAGTAGTACAAGTACGTACCGACGAACGTTGCCAGTTGACTTTCGGGATGTACTGCATCGGACTCGTGCCTTCTGGCCGGTACTTTACTATTACGGTACGTAGTAACGAACTACCTGTTGGTACGGTAGGTTTATTTTATGACGATGCAGCGGAAATACTAGAAACTTCACCTCTTTTTATCGCATAGTGTGTTTACGTGCTTTCCTCGCGTCTATGGTAGCAGAGATGTTATGATACACGAGCAGTTTTATTTCAACATCATGTTGTAGCAAATATTAACCATGCATCTATTGATTAKTACGCTCTTTACAGTTGTATCTATAGATCAGTTTGTAGTCGATTGTTTGATAATAATACATTTCCAACTTAGAATTGTTTAGATTGTACTATGTGCATACATTGTATCTGGTATCAAGTGTCAAATACAATACAATCTATTGCGTCTAAGCAGCGTCTGCACAGTACTGTCGGAGGACAATATGTGCAGTGTTATGTGCAAATTCGTGCAAATGGTATTGGCAACCAATCGATGCTCTTCTTCTCCTCGCAAAACTAGTAGTAGTTGCCAGAATAGAGACGTCTTCTTCGTCCTCGCAATAATCCTGTTGAAGCAGATCCAAGTGAAGTGCTGCTGCTGCCTCGCCTTGATCGCCATACGAGTTGCTTGATTCGAAATGCTGTTCCTGTACCTGCCGTTGGTATTGATCAACCAAGAGAACTATGGACGACAGCAAGTCCTGGAGGCATTCTTTGTGCTTCGGTACATTGTTTATAGATCGGTAGAGCTGACTCAAGTTGTTGCACACAATCATGTGGAACCGAATGTGATTACCGCAGTTCTTGGAAGAGTGCCGGTTGCTGCTCGGACGCGGACTTTGCTGCGGACAAACGTCGCCCTCTCTGCTTGGCGGTTCCTCTTCGCTGGTGCACGGGCAAATGCCGGTCTCTTCGGAGCKCCCGTGCTTCGACGGGTCGGCGAGGGTGTAGAGCCTGATCGCGATATCGGAGAATCTTGCCTGCCTCTGGCGCTTGGTTTCTTCCTTTCTGGTGCTTGCTGCYGCACTCGTCGTTGTGTTGCACGCAACGGTAACGCTTGCCGTGCCGAGCGCGATGCTCCACAGCTGGAAGGCCAGGGCGATGTTGAAGTTGATGACGGACACGAGTGTCGATTCCTCGATCGAGCCTTCGAGAATGTATCGAGGAGGTATGCGGATCGGCCTCCGGTATATCGATCCGGGGCTGCTTTTGAGGCGGCCGTCTTCTTCCTCTGGGGGAGTCCAGAAGTATCTGTTGTTGCTCGCGTCTTGTTCTTGTTCTTGCGGAGCGCATGGAACGGACGATCGCGGAGGGGACAGTCTCCGTTTCTTGGTGTTGGGTCCGTTGGCGACATAGTCGGAGCGTCCGGTCCCCCCGTTTTCCTTCATCTCCCGTTCCAGGACGATGGCATCGACGATGGTTTCGGAGTACGAGAGGCACCCATCGAGGGTGCAATCGCAGCACGGATCCCCCGCGTACGAGGGGCCACCGCTGCCGCTGCTACAGCTGCTGCTGCGTTCCAGGAGTTTCAGCGCCTTTCCCAGAGACTTTATGGCTCGCTCGTGCTCCCCGATTTCTATGCACAACACGGCGCTGTTGTTGAGCTTTTGTGCGTAGGAGTTTGCCTTTTCTCGAGAAAGGACGCTCCGGGAGGTGCTTCGGCCGCTGCTGCCGCCGTTCGTCCCGGCGATGCTGCCGTTGCCAATGGAAGGACGGCGGTACCCAAGGCTTTCCTGGTGTTGGTGCTCGATGGGGTGCGAGGGGCTCGAGGACGGAGGTTCCATGGTGGTTACGGTCTCGTACGSTCGGCTTGGTTTTAAAAGAGTTCTTCTTTGAAATTTGTGGTGCGCTACGGTATTGTAAGTGTAGCTTTTCTTTGATTGCTTCTGACTCACGAGGTTTCAAACAAATTCTTTTTTCCCTCTCTCCTTCTTCTTATCAATTAGTAAGAAGAACGTTATCATCCACAAACAGAACGGTAATTGCGATTGAGCACGATCAGGTAAATTCGCGATCTCAATTGTTTTACTGTTAAGTTCTGAGCATTTTTTTTCGTTTAAGGGTTACAAAGGGCAATATAATTTGATTGTCCCCATCTTACATTACCAAAACTMAAATAATTAATCTTTCACCGTAGACCAGAAAAAAGAATAGGATCTCCTTTTTATTTTACTTAATYGTCTCAATCTGCTTCAAAAGAATCGGAACTTTTCAAATAACCCTTGAAACTGTACCTAAGTAATTTTTAGGACACGGGTCTCAATAAGTAGATTGTTTCTTATGAAGCCATAGGGTTATAGAAACAGAAATAGYAWGGTTACGATAGGCAATATAGTTTTTCGGTTCGTACACTGTTAGATGCGAAAAAAATATGCTGTACGAATAATATTGTACTGTATCCTGCTGATTGTACCGTCCTGTACATTATTGGGAATCGGAATGTTCTGATATTTTCCTATCCCGTTTGAGAATGGGAGGTATAATAAAGTACAATCTGCAGAACGAAATTCTTCACTATAAGTATTCATTTCGTGGATAGCGCTAAGTACTAGTTGAAGAATGAAAAGTTGTTTAAGTAAAAGCAGATTGTTCGATGTCTTGTCATTTTCTGTATGCGATCTTGCTATGCCGTAAGTAAGARATAAGACGATCCGTGCATTTTCCGATCCTAGATTCGGGTCATCGCTGGGATTCGGTTCTCAAGAAAAAAACATCACGCGGGTTTAAATTCAAGGATCGAGTGATCCGTGGCGATGGTCGCGCGCGGCACGTGGTACCGTAGCCAAGGAGGGCACGTGCTGTACATACCGTACGTTCGTTTAGGCAGGGACTTAGGGACAACGGACGACCCCCTTTCTTTTCGTGTACCAGAAATAATAGATAGGAGTACGTACCGTACTTGGTACCTACATGCTGCGAGTGCCACATGTATCGTCGCACAGGACTCACTAAGCCGAGTCCCAATAAAAATACTTGTCCTGACTCCGTAGAAACTTGTACCGTAAGTACGGTACCGCAGCAGCGTTTTTGGGATCACACAAAGTGGGGATAGGTGATAGGTCCTGTGTGATCGCGTCCCAATGAGCTGGTATGTTCTATGCAAACTCGTACAGTGCCAGCCCAGGTAGTGTTTGTGACATGATTTTTAACGGTTAAAAACARTTCCAAAATTAAGCTAGGCGACGGTAGGTTCGAGTACGAGTACGTACTCCCGATTTTTGGAGAGAGCGAGCCTCGCACGCATTCTCTGTCAACGGGAAGTGTTCGCACGTCCGAGTTTTCTGTGCCCGACGATCAATGACAAAAAGTGCATCCGAATCGAAGACGGGGGAAGAACGCAATTCGTTCGAGGCCGAGCGAAGAGATACACGAAACCCCAAGGCAAGGCAAGTCAAGGCAAGGCAAGGCGAAGAACCGGGAAGCAAAACAGCACCCAAAAGCCAAGAGGCAGAGAGCCCGGCGAGGAACATTTCCACACAACCAGCAAAGAACAACCAACAAACACACAGCACACCGCTTGTCTCTCCCATGGGCGTCGCCTCCGACTTTCTGCCCCGGGTCCTGGAATCCGGGGGCCGCCCCCTGGACCTGGCGGACTACCGCGGGGGGATCCCCGTGGACACCCCACGGGCCGGAAGCAGGAGCAGAAGCAACAGCAACAGCAACAGCAACCACGAACGCCGAGAAAAACGCCCGCTGAGGATCGGGATCGACGTGTCCTCGTGGATCTACCGGGCGGGCTTTGCCCTGGGGGACCGCCTCATGGGGGAGGACCGCTACCTGACGGCCCTCGGGCGGGCCGACCTGCAGCGGGAGCAGCAGCAACAACAACAACAACAACAACAACAACAACAACAACGGGGGGCCGGTGGGGAGGCCACAGCAGGCGGGGCCACGGAGAACAACGGGGTTTCTGCTTTGGATTCGAAGGAAAATCCGATGGACAATCCGATGGACAATCCGGGGGACTGCAACCATCCGATCGAGAGTCCTTGCCCCATCCAGCAGCAGCATCTGCAGCACCATCCGAAGCAGCATCTCCCGGACCCGGTGGCGGTCCGGGACTACCGCGAGGCATGCGCAAACTACGTCGTCAAGCGGCTGGAGCTCCTCAAGGAGGGGACCAACGCCGATCTGCTGGTGGTCTTTGACGGGCGGACGCCCCCCGTCAAGGCCAGGACGGTGGCCAAGCGAAGGAGGGACCGGTGGAAGTACCAGAGCCTCCGGGGGGAACGACCGGGTGCGAGCGAGACCGCAATTGCCCACCAGGACAGCGAGAACAAAGCCAGCAACCACTACGACAAGAACAAAAAAGGCGTCGACGCCGACGTCGAGCGGCGCGTCCGGGCCAAYCGCCGCGCCGGACCGGGGGAGCACCTCCCGGGGATCGTCGATTGCCTGCTGGGCAAGCTCCGGCAGAAAGCGGCCTGCTTCGGGGGGAGGGGCCTTTCCGCCTGGATGGTGGCGCCCTACGAGGCCGATTCCCAGCTGGCCTACCTCTCGAAGCGGTCCTACATCGACCTGGTGGTCACGGAGGACTCGGACCTCGTYGCCCACGGGTGTCGATCGGTGCTCTACAAGTGCCTCGACCACCAGGGGCCGGGAAAAGGGGCCGGCCGAGGGAACCGGACCGGGGGCGGCAACGCCAACGTGGACAGGGACACCGACGCGTCCATCGACATCGACATCGACATCGACATTACCCGGGGAAAACTCCTGGAATTCCGCGACCTTGGGAGGTCCGGACCCTTTCCCGGCAGCGGGAGGGCCACCAACCCCACTGCCACTACGAAGCACAAGCACAAGCCCAACCCGGTGCCCGATCTGGCGGACTTTACCCCCTCCATGGTGGCGGTCCTCTTTGTCCTGCTGGGGTGCGACTACAACGGCTACGAAAAGCTCCGGGGGATCGGCCTGGCCACCGCCTGCCGGATCGTCCGCAACGCCTTTCTCGAACCACCCGGGAGCGGCAGCGACGACGGCAGCGACGACGGCAACAGCGACCATCGCCCCACCACCAAGTCCTGCCTGGAACGGGTCTGGGAGGAGGCCTACGCCAGCTCCTACGACCCCCCCGGGACCTTTACGGAAAGGTTCCGGGAGAGGTACCAGGCCTCCTTTGCCGAGGCCCTGCTCATGTACCGGCACCCCGTCGTTTTTGACCCCCTGCGGAAGACCTGCCTGCGGATCGGGGGCGGAAGCCACCGCGGCACCCACCGCGAGAGCGGCGACGACGACGACGACGACGACGACGAAGAGCTGCTCAAGGGCTGCAAAGAGTACTCCGAGCTGCTGGCCGATCCGGAGCGGTGGGTGGCGGTGGTGGGAGAAGTCCCGTCGACGAGGGAGGAGTGCATCTCGATCGCCGAGGGCCGGACCCACCAGGAGTGGAGGATGAAAAAACCCACGCCGGTCTACGCCAGCAACAACAACAACAACAACAGCGACGGCTCTGGCCACCCCACCACCGCAAAGCGGAGGCAGGAGCCGGAAAACCCCTCCCTTTCAAAACGCCCCCGTCGCTCCCCGGCCGGAGAACGCGGGGAGCAAGCGTCCGTTGCCGCGTCCGTTGCCGCGGCCCCCCTCGGGCACGACGAGATCGTCGCCATTGCCGCGGGGGGCTATCGCAGGGASGATCCCCGGGAACCCATACACCCYTTGGCGGAAGGCGGACGCGGGCCGGCCGGAGGCGACCGTGGTCTCTCCCGGGCCCTCTTTCCGGAGCCACCCGCGTTGGCGGATGCGRGTCCGGATGCGGGGGACGGCASCGGGGCAAGCACGGGCCCGAGCCCGCCGAGCAGCGAGGGACGGACCGTCCCCCTCTCGGAAGCATCCGGCGACGAGTGGCCGGGAGGAAAGGACGAAGAATCCACCAGCCGGAACCTCCTGGCCTCCACCGCGACGCCCGAACCCGGCAGCGCGGGCGAGAGCCGGCCGAGCGGCAGCAACACCCCCGGCGTCGGCGCTGGAAGCTCGACGCAGACCTCGCTGGGGGCCACCACCCAGACCCTGTCGTCGTCCGCGTCGGGGTCGCTGCCCTCGCAGACGCAATCGCAGTCCCAGACGCCCCGGACTCTTCCCGGGAACCCAGACGCCGCAAGCCGTGGGGGGACGCCTCTGTGTTCTACGCCCGAGGCGGAGAGCGTCGACCTCCTGGCCTCCTCCTCGCCCTGCACCGCCACCGCTACCCCCCTTTCGCGGAACGAGGCCGAGCCCACGCCGGCCCGAGAAGGCCACCGAATGCCCGCGCYKTCCCCGGAACGCCCGGGCCTCTCGCTCCGGACGCCGCAGAGGGGGCCGCCACCGCTGTTTCTTCCGCACRGCGGAGCGTCGGCGAAACCACGGTGCGACACCGACGCCTTTTTGTTCCAGACGCAGTCCCCGCTGGCGGTGGCCCGAACGCCGGAATGGCACCGGGGCCAAAGCCTGTGAACGGGGAAGGGGAGTCTCCCGCGGGAGAGGAAGGCAACCCGGAACGGCACGTGCGTGCCTAACGAACCACCCATAGGTAGATTGCGATGCGATACGATACGATACAATACAATACAATACAATACGGTACGATAGACACCACACGGAATTCTGTGGTTTTTAAACTGTAGTCGTAGCGTTGATCGGTGCGGATCCCCGGTTGGCTTGCTTTTGTAGGGGAACGCGGATTGTGTCATCCCGTTCCGCTTGTGTTTGCCCATCATCTTTCGCCATGGCTCGTCTGATAAACCTGGCTTKCCGTGGTTTCRCAAACTCTGCCGCATCTGGCACCCGATCTCGCAGGCAGTGTTCCTTTCCAACGTTCTACTCACACTCGGTTACTCAAAAATAATATCTAGATGTAACAGTTTGGGGGTAAGATGCATTTTAAGTGTGTTATTGGTTTCCTTTCGTTTCTTTTCTTCCGGTGCTTGGCTTGTACTTCCGCGTGTAGTTTATACCAAGTCACTGAAAGGAAGAGGCTGAATGGTGGTGAGTTCCGTGTCGCCGGGGCTCTTCAAGAAATATCCTTCCTTGGGAAGCTTGGGTGTTCTCTTGAGGTTGACCTTGACACCGGTCTTCTGRGCTTCGGCCTTGGCGGCCTCGTTGGAGACTTTTCGGGCGAGGATTTCCTTTTGGCACTTGGAGTGACGGACGTGCTCGATTCGGACATGGATGCGCTTCTCGATGATGCGTCCGTTGACGAGCTTGTTGACACGAACACCGACCGAGGCCTTGGTAACGTTGAAGACAATACCGGTGCGTCCGTGGTATCCCTTGTGGGGCATACCCTTGTGGATGGARGGGTTGGCAAAGATGTCGACGTAGTCTCCGACCTTGACGTTCATCAAGTATTGCGAGAGGTGGATGGGTCCATGCTGCCGGAATTTCTTGGCAAACATGTGGCGCGTGCGCGCTCGGACTCCGTAGGAATGGGGCATCTTGCTATTGGTGGGGTTGGGTGGTTACCGAAAAAGTGCGACGGGCGATGATCTGCGGGTGGCGGAAAAGGGAACGAGAAAACGAAAACGGGTGCGTGAGCGAACAAGAGTTAGAAACGACCGGCATTTCTGGTTCGGTGCAATCGAACGAGGGCGGGGATCGAGGTAGGGGATGACCGAGGCGTTCCCGGAGGAGAGTGGGGAGGATGTGTGTGTCTAGTGGATGGCGGGGATTCCGGTTGCAGATCGAGGCAATGGCATGCATACTTCAGGAGCAGGTGGATCTGTTCACCACAGAGTAGAATAGCTAGCTGGCCGAACGGGTGTCGGTATGTTGCTTCGGAGTTTTGTTTCGCCTGTGCTCGGTTCTGTGTTCTAGACATTCCAAACCAAGCAACAAGCGATAACCCATCCCGGAGGAGTGTTCAATCCTTTCTGTGTTCCCAACAATCGTCTTGCATCTCGGAAAGGACAGCGCCAAAAACCATTGACGCCGTCACACTCTCCATCAAGAGCCAAGGCCGTSGTATCTAAACTCTAACGGTCAAGTTACTGCAGGTGCCATCGCTGCCCTATTCCATGGTCGATGCCTCCTTTCCGGTCGCTCCCGAAGCGGACCGTCGCAAGGGCCATATTTCAGGCAACACCAGCCAATGCAACACCACCAACTACACCAACTACAGACTACGCCTCTCCCACACCATCTCCCACCAAGATCCCGGCATCAATCAATAGGGTAACGAGTACAAAAGGCAACCGCCATGGTCGCTTGCCGAGGGGGTAACACACCTTACGCTGTTAGGGAAAGATGATAGCGGAAGGCCAGCTAGAGGATTGTTCGATATTCCGTCTTCGTTGCTCCCGTGCGATCGTACGATGCGATACCGGTAGTTGCTCTACCGCGTTGTTCCACTTACTAAAACAAAACAAGCTTGCCTGGATTCGTGCACGGTTTGGGTGTGCGTGAATTGAAAGTCGTGCTGGGGGGGTGCGGTCGTCGTTGGTTTTAGTAAGCGAATGTAAGAGGTAAGACGACAGCGTAGCCTTTTGCCCTCAAGGTCCGTCCTTCGTTCCAGGATTGTTTTGTCAGGGAAAAAATTGTACGGTACGATACAGTGCGTACTCGTAGCGCGTTGTGGTAAAGTACCGTACTGTACAGAGTTTAACAACGGTTCTGTCTGTAACAAGGTGTAGGGACCCTACCAGGTTCTACACAAAAAAAACTGACACAACCTGCACACTAAACAAGCAAAGGGTACCATTAGAAAGCTCTGAGTCTCCTTTGTAAGGACGCCAAATATCATTGCTGGGTTCAAAGATCTCTTATTTCTACAACTGTTATACTACTTAATAGGGTGGAAACGCAACAAGCATCAACAACAAGAAGAAGAGGAAGAAATTTTCGAATTCAGCAGACACAGCACCAAGAACACCAGCAATGGTGTGACGCAACAAGAATGAGGAAGCTTGTTGTTCCCTTATTGGTGGCAATTCCAATTGGTCTACTGTAACAAGCATTATCTAATTAGTGGATCTACATCTTATGATTGCGATTCAGGATGATTTGGTTGTGAATTAATTTCTGACAAAGGGCTCGGTCGCTTCTTGTTTGATCCTTCTTCTTTCTTGTTGGTGTGACAATAATTTTTTTCATCTMCTACTAGTATTGCATTCTACACAGTTCTACGCATTTTGTTTTCTGAACATGAAAAACAAGCAACTGAGAGCTATCAGAACTGCTCTGGAATGGCATCTGAGGTCTTTTCCTTTGGGGACAATATGATCAGTCATACTAGTAGTAGTACTAGTGTTGGGAAGGTGTATGTGTGCTAGTGTCCTAACACATAGGTCCATAGTGGCTGGCTGCTGGCATGCTCATCTAACAGCTGGAATGGCAAAATTTTGCTATTTCTGAGACCGGCTGTGTGGTACAAAATAGGCCAGCAAGTGACCCAAAAACAACTCTAGACCACCAGACTAGTAAGCGCCCAGTCCTTATTGATATAATTACTACTACTACTTTCAAGTCTGTGCCATTGGGAACCCATAGAATGCTATGGCGGCTTAGAATTGGCTCACCAAAGTTACAGTAGCTGGTGGCCTAATTTTGATGTAAGAAATTAGCCCCGCCAGAACCCGCATTATACACATASTACCAGCAGCTGGTTGAAAAAGATTACACCATTTTGGATGAGTCAAAATTTGGATCACGTGCAACCCCTTTATACTTACTATATGTGTAGAATCCTTATGTAAAGAGGAACTCAGCCATGATGTCCTCGTGACCATTGAATATGATGTAACGTCAGTTTTTTTGGTCAATCTTTTTGTCTAGGCATATATTTTTGGTGGCAAAAGAACATTCTGAGGGTTCTCTGGGCACATTTTGAGTCAAAAATTCTGTGGAGAACCCCTCAAAAACAAAAATTTGGTAGCCTGCCTGTCTAGATTTTTTTCCTCCACGTGTAGCTTTTTGCTCAACTCCAACCAGTTTTTGGTGGCATTTGGTGCAACTCCATCTGCCTGTACACAGCCACCGTCTGTTGCTACTGTGTGTGGTACTCCAGACTGACAATACCTTCTTCTGTGTACGATTTGTACTGAGATCAATGGGTTCTGAAAATCTGCCATGACATGTTCAATCTTCAAAGAAAGTGGATTTTTGTGCACCTCCACTTATTGTTGTTTCAATTGGTGTCCCTGTTATGCTCACAATCTTCTTTCAATCCACTATAAAAAGAAATCTAAGATCTATCATACATCCCCTCCATATCAAGCGTCTTCATCCACATCATACTATCAAGCCTCTGCATCGGTACCTTATCAAGCCTCTGCATCTAGCCTCCCCATCTGTATCATATCAAGCCTCTGCATCTAGCCTCTGGATCAATCCTCTGTATCCAGCCTCTGGTGTTTACAGCATTCAAGCTACTGTTAATTTGTTGTCAAGAAAATTGAGCAGTTTGTGCAACAAGAGTGACCACACTGTTAATGTTTAGTTGCTGAGGACCAAGCAAACTAAGGATCCAGTTGCATATTGATACTCAATTTTCTTGAAGAAGCATTCTTGTGCTTCTTCCAATAATTGCTCAAGGCGGAAACACCATGACCGTCCAAAGCGCATTGACTGTTCCCAAGCTAGGAAAGCTGCTGCTGAAATTGTCATTTTCAACAAAGCAGAAGCTAAGCTTGCTGATATGTTGCAATCAAGAGCCTTAAAAAAAGCCTCAGCTGCATCAGTAGTATTGCCCATAGATGCTGGCAATGCRATGGTCAACACTCCGACCACTACTGGTTCTGGCAGGTCAAAAGGAGTTGACTACTTGGAGTATCTTTCTGATGCTAGTACTAGTAGTGATGATGACAATTCCTGTGCCAGTGATTGTGACGATGACAGTATTCTTAGTATTGACAAATATGTCAACTTTGGAGGAAGCTGCTTCAGCGTCAGAAAAGAATATTCAAGTTGCTATTGCAGTTTATTTTGAATATGTGTTGGGTGCACCATCGCAGGCTCAATGGAAGGAACAAAAAAAGTTTTAACTAATGCTAAGGCATTCAACCAAAACCATCRAAGGCCTTCAGATGTGCAGTATGCTCAGTTATTGAAGAGGTATCCCATTGCAGAGCAAATGGTACAAAATATACTGGTGACAGGGCACAAATCACATGTGGTAGGAAGCCAATAGTGACTTTGGATAGTATTGAGGCAGAAATTCTTGCTACAGCTATAGAGGATGGTAATAGTCTGAAGCTGTCATCCCATTTGGTAAATGTATATTGGCAACAGGCTGGGCTACCATCATTCATCATTGATCTATGCTTCCATCTATGGATGTTTTTGCAGGCTCAACCCATGCATACGTCGGTTGGAGAAAGGAAAACAAGGATTGTCTGATGTCAAATYCACTTGGTGCCATGCTAGTAGCTTTTGCTGGTTTTCACAGCTTATACTTCAATTCAGAGTGATTACATTCCATGATAAAAATTTTCAAAGCTTCTTGGAGATGCTTGTAATGTCAACAATCCACCAGCAAGCTAGTATGATATAGATAAAATGACAAAGCTTGAGCTTACAAATGTTACATGGTTTGATAAAATGCATAAAAAGTGTTTTGTTGGTCACAATTAATACCCCTAGCATTGTTTTATTGCTATTTAGACAAMATACTAATCTGACAGCATTAATACTAGTATCTGCTGCCTAGAACCAAWATCATAATATTTTAACAGCATATGCACTAATATCAGCCCAGGAACAAAATCACTGTGAGGGTCATAACTTGGTCAAAAAAGGGAGTTAGATCACTATATTTAGCATCACATACCTCCCATGGCACCAATATGAAAGAATTTTATCTTTCTTTTGAGACACCTCTTTTAGTCATGGTGGAAGAAGAGACTCCTCACTGGGTCAACACCAAAATTTGCTCAAAAACCAGTCATATTGTGAGCACTATCATAACTTGCTCAAAATAGAGTGTCAGGTGAATCTATTTAGCATCACATCCCCCCCTGGCACCAATAGCAAAAGGTATCCTTTTGTTGTACTAATTAATGATATTTTGGGAATGATGGTCCACACACGGACAAAATACCAGTATTTGCTGGCAAGGGTCCAAAATCAATGTGAGGGACATATCATTGTGAAAAAATATTATTTAAACCTTTAATTTAGTTTCACATACCCCCCATTGGCACCAATAGACAGGAATATGATATCTTGCCATGATGAAGCTCACATAGTTAGTATTGTTTATTTATATCACTAATTATTTATCCTGTAGTAAGGGATCAGCCAGTATTAGCACAGTACCACTACTAGACAGTATGGTACGTACAAGTATTTATACATGTGTAGAATAATGTCTTTTTGTATGTGCATACGTATGTTTGTCAGTGGCAGCTTCCTCAATCATTATAAAGCTTATCCTGGTGGCCTAGTTTCATGAAAAAGTATATTCGCCCAAGCCGAATAATCTCATTTCTGCTGGTGTCATCCAGTTGAACAATGCAAGAGATATTGACAATCCTGTTGCATCAAGTATGAGTATGGTTGGGACTCACCAGTATGGCCAAGGTATATTAATGGAGTACAAACAGAGGATGTTTCTTAGGAACTTGATTTACTTAGTGCTACTTCATATCATGGTAGATATGAGCCCAAATGTTATCAACAYGGTTATAGTATTAGTAGCCCTTACAGGCACAACTTGCTGAATCCATACCCCTGGGCCTCTCCCTTTGGGTTTTATACTGAAATACAACAACAGGTGGAGCTGATTACATTATCATTGATGAAAGCTGGTGGACCAAAGACAAGAAGCTTTCAGTACTGGTACTGTACAAGAATCTCTTTGTAGACCTTTCTTTAGTCTAGTATACCATGGCACTTCTTTAGAGGAAGACCCTGGCCATTGCATGAGTCCACTAGCATACCCATACTAGATTGAAATCCTTAGTGTTCTCCTCTACTATCTCTTCTCTCCTGGAGAAAATGGCTGGTTTGATCCTGCCTGAAGAGTCAAGTACTAGCACAACAAGCTGATGGTATCAGGACCATCCATAAGTACTGCTTGTCAAGAAGAGCAAACTAGTACTGTCAGAGCTAGTACCAGTACTTGTATTGTAAAATTTTTAGTAGTAGTACAAAGTAACAAATAGTAATAGGAGTACTAATACTAGAATCACCACCAAGCAGCAGTACTTTTCATAGCACTACTAATAGATTTGAAGGTTTTGCATGTGACTACTACTAGAGCAAGTATAGTAAGTAAGAGTTAATCTTCGATTAACATTCCATATGTTTTAAGACTGTACATTGAGTAACTGCTGCCTTTAAAGTAGTAGTCACATTGACCATCAAATAGTAGTAGTCCAACAATCTTTTGTATAACAGGTAGTAGAAAAACCTGGTTTGRTTGAGAGATTAGAATTTGGCCTCCTTTCATAAAGGTTGAACAGAACAACAAGCACAGCACAAGAAGCAAAGTAACTTTGCCATTGATGATGCTGGGAATCCAGTGATATTAAAAAAATTCCTACTAGGAGAGAACTTTTCATGGATCATAGTTCAAGAAGAATATGATAAAACAGAAACCCATAAGGTGAATATTGAGGGTGCTGTTCCAGTGACCTTGCAACAAGCCAACAAAGGAGGTACTAGAACATCATTTTGTGACAGAGCAATGCAACAACCACTCAAGAATTCCCCAGCATCAGATTTTTCAACATGATTCTTTCTTACAAAGAGGGGGTGGGCATTCTTGAAATGATTAAATGTTCTGACTACAAAGAATCTAGATCCTCATTTGGTTTCCAGTGGAAAGATAACTTGTTGTTGTGAGGATGAATGTCATTTTTAGCTTGAATTCTTCTTCATTTTGTTCTTCTCTAAATCCATAGTTCTTGTTTCCTGCTACACAAAAAGATAAAATTTGTTTTAGAACTATTCATCAGATGTCTGTGTCTTCTTTCCTGTTTGTGGTTTTACATTGCAGTGTCTCTTTTTTAGTGCTACTTTTTGTGTTCCTCTCTCTACTAGTAGTATGGTTCTAGTTTTGTCAAACATGATGGAACTCATGTTGCACATCTTTATGATCTCTGAATCTGCTAGTGGCGGTTCTATTTTTCTTCTTTGAATTGAATTTAACAATATTTGCATGGATATAGAGTACAAAGAGTTACTAGGTACGGACCCATTGCTAATAATTTGTGTGCCCCTCCTATTAGTATCCACTCCACGCTATAAACCAGCACTATACTGTAATTCTAGTACTAGTAGTGGAGAAACCTAAAGAATACCAGAATCTTTTTTGCTTTGAAAAGGCATTGATGGGTACTACCACTATGTATGGCAATTAGTGGTGCAGTGTTGAGTAAAAATTGTTTTATTTTCACAAATGAAAATTACTCTCAATTAACATGACAAACCAAAAGTTGCAATTACAATGGTTGGGTGCAACTCCTTGCTGGCTTTTTTGAATAAAAATGACCCCCCATACAAGAAAACTTTCCTTAAGAATGATAGTAAAAATTGCCATGAATCAATACTTATTTTTTGGCTTTCTATATCTGTGAGTCCAGTCTTTAACTGACTGGTAGAACAGTTCCAAATGATAAAATCAAATCTATGTAGTAGTACGACAAAAAATGGCTCTGTTTGAATGCTTATTCCAATCTTACTGCTGGCACAACAAGACTAATGGCAATAATACAACCATATAGCACTAATGCAAATCTAGTATGAAGTGCAAAAAGAAGCATTCTAATTGCTCAATTGTTGATCTTTTTTCAATAGTATATGTGCAAAGTGGACACACATATTGGAGTGGTACTACTAGAGGAAGTAAAACTTTCCTTATCCTCCTCGTTGCACTACTAGTACAATTCTGCCGCCAACAAGTACTGTGCCACTAAAGATATCTTTGTTGGACAGATTTCAACGAAAGAACCACTACAGTAATGATTCCAGACCATAAGATTGTGTTTCAAGGGGAATTAAAATCAAATTGTTCGTTTACCAAGAATCTACAATATTTATTGAACAACAACAAGAATTTTCAATCTTGACGCTGATAACAGTTTAAATCGAATTGTCATACCCATATGGCCAGGACCGACATCATCAAGTAACCTACCAAAAAGCCCAAAAGCTTTCGAATCTGCCATGTTTGTATCGGCAGGTCACTTTTGCCCTCTCTATGCGTCATGAGCTCTTTCATTGCGATCTCGACGATGGAAACGTACAAAAACGTGCCGGACACCATCGCCTGGATGATTCCAATTACTGTGACACTGTTGTCAGCATCGATTGCTGGTAAGAGGAAAATTCCTAGAAAGACGCCTGCGATGCTGCAAAGGCCAAAGACAAAGCTCAATACAAGGACGTGCAGTTCTCTCATGTGGGAGGCAACCATTGCGGAGCCGAGTGCGTATCCCGCGAATGCCTTGTGCGCCAGGACGGCCGACGTGGTCGAGGTGATTGACGCGGTGTCGGTCGCCACCCCAATAGCGAGTGCCTCGAAGAGACTGTGGAAGGAAAGGGCCGTTAGAAGCAGAACCGACGACAGCAGGCTCCCTTTTGCGTGATTGACGAGGTGGCTCTCGTGGTAGTGCACTGGGTGCTGGTAGCTAAAGCTGTAATCCCTCATCGAATCCAAGACGGAGTTGGTGCCGCTGGTAGATCTGCGGTGGTGGATATCTATCTTTTTCTTTGGAATTGTCCYGCACTCTTCGTTCCTTTCGGCATCGGACCTCGTGCTCGAAGTCAGATAAGCTGCACAGTCGTTTTCCGATGCTATGATACAGCACCCACTATTCCCTGGTGTGTCGTGAGAGATGAGACTACTTCTCTCATGGDGTCGCTGTTGGTTGGCCTGCTCGGAATCGCTAATGCTCCGTGGTCCGTGGATTTGCGCGAAGAGCTCGTTGTCTTTCATCTGAAGGTGGAGGTATTCTTCCAGAAGCAGAAAAAATGTGAAGGTGAGACCGGCGATGAAGGATGCCAGTGGATAGTCGCCGAATTTATCCTCCAAGCTTTCCGAGCTATCGGGGAGCTGATGGACGAGTCCGCCCGCCAATAGAACCCCCGCAGCAACCATGTTACCGATGCTGAATAGATGATCATCGATCCGGATCACCCTCAAGGGTGCAGCCGCAGAAGTGAAACTTATGAAGAAGGTTCCGACGGCGATAAAGATCTTTGTTGTCACTAATCCGTACATGGTATGGTGTGCCGCGCTCGGTCTGTGGGTCTCAAAATGAACCGGGGTAGTGCAGCAGCATTGCTTTAGAGGTGGTGTTGGGTCGAATGGTACCGTAGAATGGAAGTTCAAAGACGACTGGCTTTCAATGATGGCATGATGTGACACAATTAGTTGGGGGTGTTSTGAAATTCTAGCATTTAATTTTTCGTGAATTCTTGGAGGACTGTACGAGTACTCTTACGAACATTGATCTTTGTTTTTAGAATACAGGAAAATCCTAATAGATTCCCTGTTSTAACTTCAGGAAATGTAGTGAGTACGACATCGTACGTACGGACTGATACTCGTAGTCGCCTTCGTTAAAAATGGAGCGACTGCTGTTCATCCTYGAGAATCATCGAAGATTTCATTAACAAAARGRTAACTCAAMRAGGTRGCACGACACCGACAGGACTCGAACCTGCGCGGAGGAACTCCAACAGATTTCGAATCTGTCGCCTTAACCACTCGGCCACGGTGTCGTTGCWGGARWKTRCGCAAATTTGCAYTATTATSTTTCCACTATTAGCCCCAAGCTACTGACGTACAWTGTAATTTACAGCATCTACTACAAGTGCTTGTACTACTACTACTACTACTACTACTACTACTACTACTACTACTACTACTACTACTACTACTACTACTACTACTACTACTACTACTACTACTAC